TATCTCTATCTATAGATCTATCTCTATCTATAGATCTATCTCTATCTCTAGATCTATCTCTATCTCTAGATCTATCTCTATCTCTATCTATAGATCTATCTCTATCTCTATCTATAGATCTATCTCTATCTATAGATCTATCTCTATCTATAGATCTATCTCTATCTATCTATCTAGATATATATATCTAGATAGATATATCTAGATATATATCTAGATATATCTCCAATAATGATTCACAGCTAATTTGGTAGCAATCAGACCCAGGATCTAGGAGAAGTGATTTTTTTTCTTTTTTTCCCAAAATTTTAAATGGCGGAAAATTTTGGTAGACGGAGCTTAGGGTCCCAAGAGGATTTTTTTGTAGAACTCATTCAGTTGCTCATGTCCGTAAACTTTTAAGTCATTTGGACATACAGGCTGTCGGAGCTTGCCTTTCCAACTTCTAGGGGGCGCTAGGGAGCAGTTTTGTTATGCTCGAGCATGGGACCCATAAAATATAAAAATTTCCCGCAGTCCTGATATGCTCGCCAAATATGGGACATGATAAAGCCCCCAAAAAGGCATTTAATTCGAGAGAATAATAATTCCTACAGTTTCAATAGGGACCTCTCGGCCCGACGTTGTCGGTGCTCGGGCCCTAAAAATGAACTAGTTATTCATTTCATTCATGGTGGAATAGTACATTTGATTATAAATTCTGTCGTTATGTTTTACCAAAGTGTCTTAAAAATAATAAAAGCGTATGATGTTGTTGATTTGAACAGGAAACTTGTGATGTATTCTAACATGTCTCTTCTTCTTCTGTGGTGTCAGACCCGACAGAGGAGCCTCCTCCTCCCTCCAACAACACCATCGGCTCCATTGTGGGCGTGGTCATGGCGCTGTTCGTGGTGGGCGCTGTGTACTTCGTGTGTCAGCGCGTCCTCTGTCCTCAGATGAAGGACGATGGAGAGACGGTCACCAACGACTTCGTGGTTCACGGGCCGTCGTCGGTGCCGCTGGGATACGTTCCTCATCCGAGCTCTCTGTCTAGCTCGCTGCCAGGTGGGACGTCCTAACCTCGTATGTCTGTATCTACGTTATTGTGTTTAATGAACGTGATGCTGACGCGTGTTTAAACCTACAGGGATGTCCAGAGGGAAGTCTGTGATTGGCTCCCTCAGCATCATGGGCGGGAGCAGCGGACCGCCCTACGACCGCGCTCACGTGACCGGAGCTTCATCCAGCAGCTCGTCCAGCACCAAGGGGACATACTTCCCCCCGGTGAGACATGTGGTTTATTATTAAATAGTATATCAGTGGAAACAACACAGTTTATTATTAAATGTACTTCATGCTGAAGTTATTTACCTGCTGATTGTCTTCTATATTGTTTTGTTGCAGATCCTGAATCCTCCTCCGTCTCCTGCTACAGTCCGCTCTCAGTACACCATGGAGTTTGGTTATTCCTCCAACAGTCCCTCAACTCACAGATCCTACAGGTATCTTATTATCTCATGTTAATGCATCTCATTATCTCGTGTTGGTGTGTCTCATCATCCCGTGTTAGTGTGTCTCATCATCTCGTGTTAATATAATCGTTTTCTTACTCTGTGGTGTTTCTACTTATCTATATATTTTTTTATTATTGTGTTTTTTGTCTCAGCTACCATCACTTGTGTTCTTACTCTGTGGTGTTTTCTTACTCTGTGGTGTTTCCTCAGCTACCGTCCCTACACGTACCGTCACTTCGCCCCCCCCACCACCCCCTGCAGTACCGACCTGTGTGACAGCGACTACACTCCTGGCCGTCGGGCTCCTCTGAAGTCTTCTTCTGGTGCTAAAGGTTACACCAGCGACCTGAACTACGACTCTGAGCCTCTTCCTCCTCCTCCGACCCCGAGGAGTCAGTACCTGTCAGCTGAGGAGAACTGTGAGAGCTGTCCTCCTTCTCCTTTCACAGAGAGGAGCTACTCTCACCACCTCTACCCGCCGCCTCCATCGCCCTGCACGGACTCCTCCTGAGCACCCACAATGCACCTCTCCACAGCCCTGCCCCCACAGACCACGCCCCCTCACTGTAAATAGCAATTGTGCATAAAAGAGGTTAAAGAGGCTGATGAAGAGGAAGAAACATTTGTACAGTGAAAAAGAGAAAAGCATATTTATATATTTTCTATACAGTGTTTACTGATGATGTCATAGAGGTTTGTATTAAGACATTTGTACATTTTTTAAGAAAAGGTTTTATTAAAATCATCACAAATATTAAGTTGCCTTAAACTGGGAGAACAAGAGGCCGAAGGACAAAAAGCCACAGAGGGACGATTTAACTTATCTGATGCCAAATATGAAAAACATCAACAGGAGAAGAAAAGGAGGAGAGCGCCCCCCTGTGGTGTCTGTAGTTACCATGTAAACTGGAGAACGCGGTACTTTGATTTACGTTTTACCTCCTCAGTTAGAAAACAGTGTCTGGTGGATGAGTCATGTAGCAATAACACAACATATTTATTAATCAATCAAACAGGAGGTGCTCTGTATTGACGAGGCAGCAGAGGATCAATAAGTTTGATTGAACACTACGGAGGCCCTGAAGTATGGAAGTTAATTGACACCAGGAAAAGCACAAAAGGGTCCCGTCAGTCCTTTTTTAGATTTTCTCATCATTTTGAGATATTAAGTCGTCATTTTTAGAATGTTTCTCGTGTTTTGAGAATGTTTTTCGTGATTTTGACTTAAAGTATTTTTTGTCATCATATTGGCAGAGATGGACTTCCATACTTTCTCCATGAGGCAGAAAGTGTTGCTAGAACCTGAATTTGAAGACAATCAGCCTCTTTTGGTTTGTTTGTTTGTTTGTTTTTTATTTTTGTTTGTTTCTCACTAGAAACTACTTCTTGCTCTTGTCCCTTCGGGGCCTCCGTACTAAACACTAAAACATGTCAAAGATCAGGTGTCGCATGACTCATCGGGATAAAAACCAAAACGTCGTGTTTTGATTGACGACGTCGTCGCTTCTCGTTTATTTTCTCGTGAACTCGATCTCGTGCCTGAAAAGTTGTCGTCTTCATCGTCACGTTTTTATTTTAACGAAATGCTCGATAGTATTTTTGTACCACATATTGTGTAGATATCGTATTTATAAACTATTTAGAAATTCATTGTAAATCTTTACTTTTACTTTTCATTCCGTCTTTTTTTATATCGACTCGTTATATTTTTCTACAAAGTTTCACTCAAAACGTTCAAACGACAATCTCAGAAGAACAAATATCAACAAATCCAGGTTTTTGGTGTTCATGAGTCATCGATCTGTTTTCTGTTGTCGTGACGACATAAATGTATTTTTCTCGTTTTAACTTCCTGCCGTGAACAGAATTTCTAATCTGACAATCTTAATGTTTACACTTTGTTCTTATTTTTTCAATGACATCATCCGTCTTAATGAGACGATTTTCATTTTTACAAACTGAAATATTTAATCTTTTCTCATTTTAGAAAATATTAAATTGTAGAAAATCAGTGATTCATTCAAATGATCTCATGTCATTTTTTTTCTGATTTTTAAGTAATTAGAAAATCAAATTAAAATATTTTCTGAATAAAAAGCAGTAAAATTATCTTTGACGATGTTTCGAACTTTGTCGTTATAAAGTTTTTTTTTGATACTTTGAGGAATAAAACGTTTTTCGGCTAAACTTTATGAAACAAGATTAATTCTTAAATATTAAATTAAACAGTCGAACATGAAACTGGAAACAATTTAATAAAAAACTTAGACGAAAACCAGCTTGAATGTTCTTTATTTTAGAATACTAATTTCACTCGTTAAGTTTTTGTAATTTTCTAGAAATAATCGTTTGAATCCAACAAAGTCCTGAAAGATGTTTTAATGTTTATAATGAAACTAAATTAACTAAAACAAATTATTGATCATTTATTATTTATTAATCACATCGTCGTTAGGAGTCGTTTCTCTTTGTCTGCACTTTAAACTTTACAAGACTTGTATTTGTTTTTTAAAACAAATAGAAGTCTGACTTTGTTTCCTTGTTGTTTTAACCTCATTTTACATATTTTTTAAATATGTACCGTTTTTTAAAAGTTTTTATGAACTTAATCAAATGTGTTTGAAGTCAAAGAACAAAATATTTAATCTGTTGAATCTGAAAGGAATCAGTTATTTCATTTTTAAAAGTACAAATTCATAATTTAAGAGAATCAATAAAACCAGCAGGTACTAATACTACAAATGACAGGTGTGAAGGCTGGCTATCAAATAATATTTACAATACGGATATTAATATAATATAACATTTCTATAAAAATGCAAACATTTCTCAAATGTCAAAACATTTTAGTTTTAGTTTATTTTACGTCTTTATTTACAGACGACATTAAAGAGAAAATTACTTTTATTGTTTGAAATCTTTCAGTTTTATGAACAAAAAGTTTAGAAGTGTCAGTCGGTTCAGAAGGTCGTAGGTTCGATCCCGTCAATCAAAAATACAAAACAAGTTGTTGCTTCTCTGATTTCAGGCTTTTGATCTTTTTAGTTTTTGGTTGAAATGTAAAAATGTCGAGTCGTCATTACTTGTATATTTTTTTAAGCACTTTTTTCTCCAAGTTTTCTGGATTCATTCGTTTTCTCTCACGGTGCTCCATCAAGCTATTGTTTGTTCCACTAATTATTGTTTGTTTACTTGTAAACATGAACACCCGGACCTGTAGTTTACCTGTAAACATGAACA